CCCGGCCGCCCAGCCTCCCCCAGCCCCGCCGAGGTCCCGGGCCGGGCTCGCCCTCCGCGCGCGAGCGCCGCCTGCCTCTCCGACCGCCCGGCAATGCAATTCTGCAAACTTCCCTACTCACGAGTTCGAGCCCCGGGCCGCCGTGGGCGTTCCTGCGCTCGGTCCACAGCGGACGCCCCGACGTCTCCCAGGAGCCCGCAAAACGCCCCTGGGCAGGAAGCCCAGAGAGGACGCCCGCCTGGGGGCGCCCTCGCGCCCGCGCCCGCGCCCGCGCCCGCTGCCCCGGCCCGCGATCCTCTCGGCAGCCCCCGGGCGGAGAGGCAGGCCGAGCGGCGGGGGAGCGAGAGCGCACTTACCTTCCTTCCCGCGCCGCACAGCGGCCAGTAAGCCAGGGAGAAAGAGCCCCAGAGCGGCTGAATGCAACACCGTGCAAATGAGGGGGTTCAGGGCCTTCAGCAGCCCCGAGGAAGGGGCGCGCCAGAGAGGCCGGGCCGCCGCCGCCGTGCCCATTGGCCCTGAGAGCCGTCCATCACTGACGGGCCCCACCCTCTCTCGCGGCGCCCCGCCCCGTCTCGTGCGGCGCCAGCCGGAAAGGAGCAGCGCACTTCCGCCGATGGAAGGCTAGTCCTCGTTCTCGCGTCCTGGGCCCTCGGAGCACCCCGCCCTGAGTTCCCCCCGCAGCTGCAGTCGCAGTCCCCCGAGACGCGGAGGCCTTCTTCGCCCGGTGGATGGGTGGGGCCCGGGGAGAAGGTGCGCTCTTGCTCCTGGGAATGGCGGGTTGCCTTGGTTGACGGCGGGGAGCCTGTGCCACGGTGCGGCCCTGCAGGCAGAGAAGATGAGCGCTTAGGAGCCATTGGAGGTCCTGGGCCGCGGGGTGGTCTGTTCTTTAAAATTAAAAGCCTTTCCTGCCCGTCTGCCCCCGCCCTGTGTACATCTGCGCTGTTAGCTGAGGGGTTCGCTAAGCACACCCTGGAGGGAAGTTTCTGAACTTTAGGGCCTGAGGACCCTCTCCTGGGACCTGGCAAACACACCTCCCCGACGCTTCCTGAACCTGACTTGTAATTCATTCGGCGCCGGCCTGTGTGAGGGCCCTACTGTGTGCCCACAGTACACTTACGTGAGACTGGAGGCAAAAGTGCTATTTTCTTCTTAAAGAATGTGTAGTTTTAAATGCTAGTCAATCTCAACACCAAACTGTAAATGAGAAAACTTTATTTTAAAACAAAACGAAAAGATTAAATTAAACCTAATTTTTGAGGAAGATAAGGCAATCTGCCCCATAAGGCTTTACAGTCTTGGAAACCCTATACTGTATAGGGTCTCTGCAGGTCGAAATGAGGCGCCTTGGTGGTGTAGTGTTACATATTGGGCAGCAAACTCAAGGACAGCAGTTCAAAACTACCAGTCACTCCTAGGTAAAAAGACCAGCTTTCTACCTCGTGAAGAATTACAGTCTAGGCAAGTGGACATCCCCTTACAGAAGGGTCAGAAGGAGCAGACTATCCAGTCAGGGTGCAGTATAGTACCGATGAAACACACAACTTTTCCTCTAGTTCTTTAATGTTTCCTCCCCCCACTATCATGACCACAATTCTACCTTACAAATCTGGCTAGACCAGCTGATGTACACGGGTACAGATAAGAGCTGGAAACAGGGAATCCAGGACAGATAAATGCCCTCAGGACCAATAATGAGAATAGAGATACCAGAAGGGGAAGAGGGGAGAAAAGGGGAATCGATCCCATGGAGACAACAGATAAGTGGGTGAAGGGAGACATCGGTCAGTGTAAGACATAACAAAGTATAAATTGTCAAGGGTTCATGAGGGAGGGAGGGGAAAAAATGAGCTGATACGAAGGACTCAAGTAGAAAGAAGATGTTTTGAAAATGATGGCAACATATGTACAAATGTCCTTGATACAATGGATTGTATACAATGGTACGGATTGTGGTAAGAGTCCCCAGTAAAATGATTTTTTTTTATGTAAAAAAGTGAATCACAGTCTTGGAAATTCACAGGGGCAAGTTCTACCTTTAGAACTGGCTTAAGCTGGCACTGCCTCCATGGCAGTGAGTTTGTAATTGGAATTAACGTGAAGGCAGGTTCAATATCTTATTGTCATACTTTTAAATTAAACAGTTTTCATTGGCCACTGTCTTTGACTAAATGTTTGCTTAGCCATAGCAAAGCAAATTTGAACGAGCACCTGTTAGCTGGCTGTGTTAATTGGTCAAAAAACAAACCAAACTCACCACCATTGAGTTGATGACACATAAAGTTAGTTTGAAACACACATGTTGGTGTAATACGGCCTTTCATGTTAAGGATTTAGGAGCAAATTTCATTAAGAAACCTAGCACCTTCAGTGCTTAAATTTTTCAGATGGCCAAGATTTCACTTAAGCAAAGCATTGTCTAAAGGAGCCTTAGAGTTGTTTCGTTTTTTCTTTTTAACCAGAAAACTGTAAGTAGCTTACTAAGACATTTTTCTAACCTGAGGATACATTGTAAGCATTCTGCTATTACGGCTGTAAATTTTGTAGCACAAGGAAACCTATCTAAACATTTGTATCCACTGGAGACCTTTCTCTGCTTTTTCAGCCCTCCCTTTTGGGATCTCAGGAGCTCTGAGTGTATAAAATTTCTGAGCTGCCAACCACAAGGTCTGGGGTTCGAACTTACTAGCGGCTTGGTAGAGGAACAGTGAGGCTGGCTGTTCCCATAAAGATGTAAATTCTCAGAAACCCAAAGGGGGAACCCCAAAGGTTCTGCCCTGTCCTATAGGATCACTATGCTTTGGAATCAACTGGGTGGCAAATTTTGTTTTTTGTTCTCAATCAAAAGCCAAGTGATCAATGATCTTATTGTAATTTCTTTGTTTTTTATCCTTTATCTGTTCCACATCAGGACCAATTCTCTGAAATTTGACATTTTCACCTATACAAACTAGTGATCTTCCCTTTGGGTGTCTCTCTAATGCCTAATAAATCCTGGTGTTGATCCCTTAGAGCATATTGTAGGATCCCTGTTGACATAGTGCTTATGAATTGGGCTGTCATCCTCAAGGTTGGTAGTTCAAAAGCACCAGACATTCCTTTGGAGAAAGATGCGGCTTTCTACTCCTATAAACTGTTTCCATCTCAGAAACTCACAGGGGCAGTTTTACCCTGTAGGGTTACTATGAGCCATCATCAACTCAATGGCAGTGACTTGAGTTGCGGACATATTATTGGCCTTTTCTGAAGGGAGGGACTATGCTTTTCATAGGTAGACCTCAGAAAGATGGCAGTTCAGTTAAAGACCTCTGCAACAAAGTATCACAAGCGGGTCACATGCTGTTTCCCAGTACATATAAAACATGTGTACTTAAGTTTACAGTATAAGTGCAATAGCATTGTGAAAAAGTTTGAAATATTTTGAGAATTGACCCAAACGTGACACACAGACCTACATTTTTGAGCACATGCTATAGGAAAAATAGCATGCTATAAACTTGCTCAAGGAGCCCTGGTGACATAATAGGCTATGCATCGAACCCACCAGCCCCTCTAGGAGAGAGATGAGGCTGCCTGCCCCTGAATTCTACTCTGCCTCTAGTGTTATGCTGAGTCTGAATCTGCTTGATGGCAGTGAATTTTTGTTTTTGTTTCTAGACTAGCTCTAGGAGATGGGTTAGCCTCTCTAGAGAAGCGAAACAGTGATGCTTATATATACATATGTATATAGAAAGATACCTGTCAAGAAGAGACAGTTCTAGAAGTATGTATGTCCAGTTCAGCTCAAATCCGAGGGTCAGAGTAGACTGGAGGTTTCTCCTGACTCATGTGGCTGTGGGAGTGGAGTAAGCAGGATGACCATAGGCTGGTAGATGCTAAGTAGGATGAATCCAAGATCAGAAGTTCACTGATGGCTCCTGGGATTGGCAGGCAATGTGGCAGGAGGACAACAAACCAGATACAGGATCTAGAGCTAACAGAATTGAAACTTTCCCATAGTATCTGCTTAAAAAAGAGCTGGCCACAGAGCCCCAAAGAGTCTTCCAAATGTATCACCAGCCTGTGACCCGATCAAGGGGGCTCCACACCACCACAGCTGCTGGCTTCTCAGAATATCATAGGGTTGATTGCATTGTGTTAGATCCCGTCCTGGAGAATTACTGGCAAATACTGTGAACCTCGGCCCAGCCAAGTTGACACGAAACCTAACCATATCAGAATTACGAAGAACCTTCAATTTGGGAAGCATAGTAAAGCAATAAAAGGAGGTATGTTAATTCTTTACCCACTGCCATTGAGTCTATGTCTATAGGACTGGATGAAACCGTCCCTGAGAGTTTCTGAGGCTGTAACTATGTACGGGACTAGAAAGCCCCATTTTTCTCCTGCTGGCAATTCATTAGTCACACTGAAAAGCAGAGAGAAAGAAAACCTGTATTCCTAAGCAGACCCTGCTAATCATGGTAACCGAGTCCCAATAAGGACCATCTTCCCAGTGACAATATTGCTCACTGATGTAGCTCGGACTCCACGGACTTCATCCAGCAAGCCATTTCTGGTCACCTCAGTCGGATATTTTCCTCCTCTGTGTGTCTTGCGTTCATCTGCAAGCAGACATTCCGTGAAAACGGACGGGGCCATCTGCTGGTGGCTTGAATAAAAGCAAAGGTCAGCTGTTTGGTCAGGTGTTGTCCTGTTACACAGCATGTTTGTTGGTGTTTCATCCTTTTCATATTACAGACTTGGGGGCAGGGATTGTGTAGTCTTTTTTTTTTTTTTAATGCTGAGGTGCCTTATATAAACTGAGTGCTTAATACCTATGTGAATTTGATTCCTTAAGATTTTTTCCCTATGTGCTATAGGGGTTTTTCCTTAAGAAATTGTCTCACTCTGGGGAAATCCATGGCATGTCCTCAAAATACTGGGGCTCAAAATACCATCTCCAAGCTCGCTGCTATTGAGTCCCCACTCTCAGTGATCCTATAGGCCGGAGTCCACTGTAACTCTGTATGGGAATAGGAAGATTTGTCTTTCTTACACAGTGCAGCTGGTGGTTTCAAACTGCAGACTTTGTGGTTTACAGCCCAACTTATAACCACTCTGCCACCAGGCCTCCTAGAAATACCATATGATACAGCAATTCCTCTACATGGTGTACATCTTAGAAATAAGAGCTGCCACATCAATAGATAAATGCAGCCATGTGCAACACAACATTCACAATAGATATATATTCACAAAAGAGAGAAACAACCTAAAATGCTCATCAGTGGAAGAATGAGTAAATTGATAACACAATTCAATGATCATGAATCTGTGAAACACCTTATAGTCACATGGATGAACCGGGAGGGTAAGTGAGTGAATTAGTCAATCATAAAAGAACAAAGATTGTATGAAACCACTATGATAAAAAGGAAAGAAAAGGTTTTCAAACCAAATGAGTCT